GCTGGGGGTGGGGGTGGGTTGCACAGGAGAAGGGCCCGGGGTGGGGGTGGGGGTGGGTGGGGGGAGGCGGCCCCACCTGCGAGGCTGGTGGCCTAGGTTAGGGTTTGGCGTGGAGGTGGTGAGCCGTGGTCTGCTTTAGGCTGTGTTCAGCGTGTGGCCGCCAGGAGGAAGGGGGAGTGGGAGATGAGTAGCCAAGGGCAGCCCCAGGTCCTGGCACGTGTGGCTGGATGCCGCTTCCTGCGGCGGGGCTGAGTGGGGAGGTGATTTGCCGCTGGGCGTGGGGATGCTGTTAGCTGCCAAGCTGGGGTGTGGGTTGGGCAGCTGGCCACGAGGCAGCTGGGCTGCTGCAGTGGACGAGGGACTGGGCAGCAAGTGCTGGGTCCCAGGCTCCCCGCTCACTGCGGGGTGGGAGGTGAAGGAGAGAAGGGACTGACTCTGGGCACAGCAGCAGGGGAGCCTGCGGGGCAGTGCCGTGAGGGGCCCTGGAGGTGGTGTCCACACGCTGGACGCGTGACTAAGGACAGAGGCAGGGCCCTGGGTCTTTGTGTCCTTGCGAAGGGCTGCTCCAGTTGGGTGGGAGCGCGGGAGTGGGCTCGGGAGGGAGCGGGGACGGAACACGGAGGGGCAGGTGAGCCTGGCGCCGCCCGCGGTGGCTTGATGAGGGGCTTGTGGGAGCACAGAGGTCCCTCATCCGAGCCCCCCCCGCCCGGAAGCAGGAGTGTGGAGCTGGGCGGTGTAGTTGCTCCTTACCGACCGTTAGCAGTTTTGTTGTGAAGGGAGCAGAGACTGGGAGGGTGGGCAGGGGCTCAAGGTCAGGGAAGCCTTCGTTGCAGGCTGCCGTGTCCGCTGTACGCTGGGGGCGACCCGGGAGAGGGGAGAGGGCGGCGATGCCGGCCTGAGGGGAGAATTGATGCCAGCGGGCCTTGGAGAAGGCGCCAGGCTGCTTGGTCCTTTCTCACGGGGTGGGGTGGGGGTGGGGGAGGCAGACCCTTGGCATCCATTAGGCAGATTGTATTGGATTTAGTTCTGCAGGGAATTGCGAGGCAAGGCCATCAGCTGCCGTGGGGTGGGGAAAGGCAGGATGTGGGCAAGGGCTTCCGGGCGGGGTGGGAAGCCCATGCAGGACCTGCGAGATGGAACATGGCGACGGTTCGTGCCGCCTGCCCACCTGTGCTCTGTGAAGGATGGCTGCACTGCTGTCATCCCCCGAGGGCCAGCGGGTCCCAGGGAAATCTGAGCGTGGGGCTGGCCCCCAGAGCTGGAGGGGTGGGGGTGTCGGCTTCCCACCGTCCTGGGCCGGAGAGGCCCCAGGGACGAAGTTGAACTCCAGCCGGGGTCCTTTCTGGCGCAGAGGGGCCGAGGCCAAGCCGTGCTCAGGGGGGCTGAGAGCCAAGGGGCTTTCTTCTAGGAGGAAGAGTCCAGGCAGGAGCTGGATTGGAAGGAGAACAAAGGTGAAGGCTTCTTGTGCCCCAGACTCATACCCAAGTCGGGTGACAGGTTTTCCATGAATCTG